ATGAAACCACCTCTATGCTAGCACATCAGCATTAAGTATAGCTCTCTTCTACAGACAACAACATGTTTGCCTGAACAGCTTGTCGCATATTGGAGAGGCAATGGGCGCTGCTGTGTATCCTGTAAAGAAACCAGCATAGTTTCTGATCCCCATAAAAGAATTTGATTTTGTTTTTCTTCATGTTTCCAGTCTATATTTCTTCATTTTGCTTTTCAACTGGAAGGGAGTTCTGTATTGTCGGAGTTAACTCCTCCTTTAGTACATTAACCCTTTCACACACGCACGCACATACAGAATATTCCTATACACTTCATCCTTTGTACTGTTTCCATGTATTGTAACTTGTTATTAATATATATTTGTATATACATATATTATCGGTCTTGTGTTTTGTTTGCTTTTCTTTGCCTTCTTCTTTGGACTTAATCAAAGTTCAACCTTTTTATGTAGTTGGGCCGGGCGGGCAGGAGTATCTGAACCATACATGCGTTTCTTCTACGTCTGACTTCTATCAACAACAGCTAACAGCCACGCCATGAACCCTCAACAAGTGGTAACCGCCACGGACTCTCTACAGTGTCCACAAAATTTGTTGGAACCAGACTGTCTGACACTATGTTTGAGATGCCCACATAAAAGAGAAAAAGGGGTGTTGTGACTCAAGCTCAAGTCTCTAGTATTTCATGGCGAAACAGATAAAGTTTTTGAAGTTGGGTTTTCTAAGTGGCATCCACTTGATCTAAGAACAAGTGAGTAAATAAATAAATAAAAGCTTTTGGGGTGCAGTGACAATAAAGCCAGACATTGAGAATTTCCAGCTACAGATCTATATTACCAGTCGCAGTTGGGATTGCGGTGGTCAGTCCTGTTCCACTCCATCGGCTGAGAGCAAACGGTCAGAGAGTTCCGATGCTGGCCATTCATTTTGCCAGCCACGCCTTGAAATGTTGAGATAAGCAGAGAATGGATAGGAAGAAGTTCCGGAGAGGAGGAATATTCTATTTTTTTATTATTAGAAAAGGAGTTCTTCTCATTTCTCACCATGGCACTTGTTTTCATCTTTTGTTACATTGTGAATGTGCCCCTTCCTAGTTTTTGGTGCCTGCCGACATGAACACCAATGGAGACACAATATGAGGTAGTTATTGGTTGGTCGATTGAAAGCAGTCGTTTGGGGAAAGAAACTACTCATGTGGAACTTATTTCTCACCAATAAAATATGAAAGGAATGAGGGTGCTTCACTACAAAGTGTGTAGCATGGCGGGCCCTAGCTGTGAAGGAACTGGCAGAACCAAGGAATGTAGTTCGTTTGAGCACTTTCCATGGACGTAGCGATAGAGAAGTGAGAAGCTTGTGTCATTTCGTCTGAGAAAGAGGGATTACAACATAGAAAATAATTTGTAAAGAAGAGAGTGGAATAAACAGACATTTTGAAAAATAGTAGAAATATAAAATAAAAGAAAAATTACAATTATTTACACTATTTACAATATTGACATTATTCGAACTGTTGTCATCACCTTTGTTGCCATATTCACAACATTTCGGCCATTGTATGCTCCGGCCGCTGTACGCGCCTTCAAGGACACATAGTCCAACTGATAAAAGCAATGGTTGAATCCAGTGACTTGACCCACAGATTTGTGAGTTTAGTACCTGCCTACAGCAGTGATGAACAAAAAAAAACTTGGAGAGTTGAGTTAAAAGGGAAATAACTGATAATGAGACATCCGGAAGAGGCATGGCACGTGAAACTAGAACAACGTACCCCGGTGGACGAAATAAAAGGTTCAGTTCGAAATTCCAATCAACGCTTTTATCAACTGAAACATTGTGGTTAGGACAACAGTAATTAGGACAACAGTCCGAACAACGTAAATAGTGTAAATAATTATAACTCATCTCAGAAATATAGACAGATATGGAAAAATGACAAAGGAGTAATAATGGGTAATAACAACAATGGGTAGGTTCTAAAAAGAAATCAAAATGTAAATGGTCGACCAGGCTCGACTATTCCGGATGCGAGAGTATGTAGGTGTATCATTTAAAGTACAATTTAAACTTAGTGCCTGGTCAACTTTTTAGAATGCTGCTGGTGCTAACTTCGAGCAAATAAGAAAACATATCAAATGACGTAGCATTTATTGACAAAAATACTCTATGCACCATAATTCCAAGAGCTTCTTTCAAATCTAAAAAAAAAAAAAATCAAATAGAGATCAGGCAGAAAAACCACTTTCTCTCTTTATAACAATCATGAACCGACTACAATTCAAGTATCTGGGTGACCAAACCAGGTCAACTTAAGGCAACCAGTAAGTCCTTCCTGCTACCATTCCTTATATGTAGACAAAATAACATTTTCTTGCGAAAACCTTCTTTTTTACGAGCTTGAACGATTCTACTATAACTAAATTTGCTTGCAGACTCTCAATGTATATATCTGCTTATCATTTTTCATTGTTATAAAACGCACATGTCCTAATGTATCCAACCTGTTCATTAAAAACTTTGTTGTTTTTTAAATGTTCTTCCAACGAACAGTAATTAGGCTGAAATAATTAAATATCAGCTTCGCAGATTTAAAGACACAGAATAATGAATAATGGATGCATAATAATTTAGTTAAGAAAAAGACGAAGCGGAAGAGGCATTTCTATTTTTCCAAGTTCGGATGAGTGGTAAGAACAATTGAGAGACGTTAAAATGCTGAACATTGCATTTCAAGTGATGGGTTGGTGATGTTTGTTATTATAAGAAAACCATTTCAAACAGAAGTAAAAATTTTGCGTCTTGAAGTGAAGTTTATTACGTTTTTGTCCATAGCTGTTGCGACAGACGTTGATCGACTGACGAAAGATGACAATGACAAAAATACGTGGTCATTGAAGAAATTTAAAGGAAACTAATACTTACAATAAAAAAAAAGTCAGCTACAATTTCCGAGATACATAAGGAGAAAAGGCCTGGAGAATTTAACACTCATATGGCATATTTGAAGGAAAGGGAACAGTGAAAAAAGCGAGTAATCTACTTAATGAGTGTGTGAGGATGATGGAAATATAATAAAGAGGAATGAGTCTTAGAGCAACAAAATACTTAGAGCAACAAAATATAGGAAATTGTGGAGAGCCATGATCACTTACCGAGTAAGTTGATTGCATAAACAAACAAACACAATTAGCTTCTTCACTTTATAGTACTCATGAACCTCAGAGATGCATTTATTTCTCGACTTGTCCACATTTTCAAAATCAGCGAAGTCATTTCCGCTAACAGACAAGCACAAGCCAGTCTCCTGATTCTGCCTTTGTCCTTAAAAATTATCAAATATTATACTCAATTGACCCCTTATTCCACCTGGTAATCACGAGACATGTTTTCATCATTTGCACTTTAGGTAAGCGGACATAAATCTATATGTCATCCCGTATTTTTAACCCTTTTTGTCTGTTCCGTTAACCCTTTACCTTTATCTCATAGTGTCACACAAAGGATAGGAAGTTATTGAAAGCCATGATCACCTACTTAAAAAAATATTTATGAATGGATGGCAGAACAGTGATAAGGATGGATTGTGAAAGAGTCAAAAGTTACTTAGAGCAACAAAAGCCTAGAAAGTGTGGAGATCCATGATCGTCTTAAAGGGACATGCCACATGAAAATAAGAAAAAGAGAGGTGGCGAGTATCGACTTTTTACGCTTGGTACTTGTATGGATATTATCTTAACCAACTCATCTTTTAGTAGGAAAATATCGAACGTGTCAGTCTAGCTCAATAAAGTTTATGTCACTTGAATAATATTCTTCTTCTTCTATGTCCCATATTCCTTCTGAAGCGTGAGCGCTCATGGCTCTCCACAACTTCTTATCATTTGAAGCTCTTAGTAAGACTGGTATTTTGACCATACCTCCCACTCCCAATTCTGATATCATAGAAATTCAAACTGTCACTTTCTGATTCTAAATATAAGTATCCTTTTTGTTTCCACTTTCCAAAAACATATAATCATTACTCAAATATTCGGTGCATGGCATTCTCAGCATCCTTCTGTAGAACCACATTTCCGTTGCCTCTAGTTCTTCATCTATGATGAAATTGTCCAGTCTTCACTGCTATATTGGAGGACCAATATTACATAACAGTTCAGTACTCTTTTCTTGGTTTCTAACGAAATGTTCCTGCTTCTTTATACTTTGATTAGCTTTTGGAAGTTATCTTTTGCAATTTTAATACGCTTTCGGATTACAGTGTTACATTTTCAGTCATCTTTGCAAAATTTATTAAAAGTTTCGCATCTGCTTGATTTTGGCATCTCCAGCCCGTCGTTCGAATTTTCAGGTGTTCTTGCTGGTAATCATACATTCTGTCTTCTTACAATTGGTGATTTCTCGTTTCTGTAATCTGCCAAGACGCCGTTGGGTGATATAAAAAAGACGAATATATATATATATATATATATATATATATATATATATATATATGTAATTATTTTTATAAAAAATTTATAACATAAGTATGTTATAAAATCACTACAAAAATAGCCATTTTGTTTCAACACACTCTGTGTCTTATCAAGTGATGGTGTTGAAAAGAAAAAAAACAAAAAAAACTTTTCAACACCATCACTTGATAAGACACAGAGTGTGTTGAAACAAAATGGCTATTTTTGTAGTGATTTTTATAACATACTTATGTTATAAATTTTTTTTATAAAATAATTATATATATATATATATATATATATATCTTGCTTTTTCTTCCAAGATGTAGCAGTGTCATCACACAAGCTTTTGTCCCCACTAGGAGGACATCTTCCCCCCGGGCTACTAATGACTGAATTTTTACACGCACGCACGCACACACACACACGCACACACACACACACACACATTTCATAATAGCACAGTTCTTAATCTTTTTCCTTTCCTTTTCTGTTGTGAAGACTTTATTATAATTTTTGCAATCATTTATTAGACTTAAAGTCACATTAAGTTGAAACACCGATTTCTGTACAATCACCGAAGTTAAGCAATATCAAGCCTTATCAGTACCTAGATGAGTGACAGCTTGGGAATACCAGGTGTTGTAAGCTTAGATGTGTAATGGATAATCACACGAAATTGTTAATTGGAGAGCTGAGTTCCAATTACAGTTGGTTTCGTTATATTCCCTTACGTGAAAATACACTTGAGAAATGTACAAATCCGCCTCTTCTCCCTCCCCCCAGCTATGGGTTAATTTGTAAGACTTGCATCACTAACTTATTATTATCTAAAAATATTCTTGCAATTTAAAAATATTTTCTGTCTTTAAATAACTTGTTGATAAGGCTTAAAAATGAATGAATCAATCATTTATTAATTATACATGAAAATATCTCCGTGTTTTCTCCTTTTACCTCCACAAATGATGATAATCTGTTATTTACATGTGAAAAATTTTGATGATATGACATGATATGAACACACAAATACGTACATACCCCCAACAAATTGGTGACAACGTCATGGCTCTTCACAACTTCCTGTTCCTTGTAGTTCTTAATAATTGTTGTCTTGTTATTTATCCTAGACCTTCCTCCCCATCCATTTACTTTAGCTCAGTAAATATTTTATGCGTTGTTTTCCTTTTTCCCTCTTACCTTCAATCTGTCCTGTGAGTATCAGAATTTCCAAGCCCTCTTTTATCATTATGTACCTAGAAACCTCAATTGTCTCTTCTTGGTGTTAAGTATAAGTTTCATTTTTTTTTCCATTTCCTCTAAAATTTCGTCATGGCTCACATGTTCGGTCCATGGTATATGCAGCATCCTTCTGTTTCTTCAAATCTCTTCTTCATCTTTGAGGAGATTGTCCAGTACTCACTGCTATACAAGAGGACACATATCACATAACAATTTAGTAGTTTTTTTTGTTTCTAGTGAAGTTTTTCTATTTCTTAGTACCCTGCTTAGCTTTTGGAGTGCATCTTTTTCCTAACCCAATGTGTCTTTGGATCTCAGTGTCACGCTTTCCGTTAAAACACTTCCCATATATTTAAATTTTCGCACTTTTGTTTCATTTTGCTATCTCTGATTTGCAATTTGCACATCGGGTTCATAAATTATAAAATGCAACTACAAGAAAATTTACGTTATGGAACTCCAAATCAATGAACTTTATTAAAAATTCAACACGCGTGAAGAAAAACTATAGATAGTCACTATATTTTTTTCGGATGCTGAGAGCTATACTTAAACTCTCTTGGAGACAACATCCAACCAAATCACAGCTCTATGAACACATCCCATATATTTCTACAATGTTACGCGAACACAGAATGCATTTTGCAGGGCACTGCTGGCAATCAAAACAAGAATTTGCGAGTGATCAACTGTTCTGGACATCTAGCTATGGAGCAAGACGTGTTAGTCACCCATCAGCCACTACAACTACTACTTAACCCTTCTTATTTTTCTCTCAATCACAGTCGCGCCTGACTTTTTCACTCACCCTCTCATTCTTCTATGACTGCTGCTAACCCTACCACTAGCAGGCTGCCGCTTTTAATTCCAGTGCTGGCAGACATATCAAAATTCTTCTATCCCAAGTCTCTCACAGACAAACTTAAAAGCCAAAGAAAATTCATGAATTCAAAAATTACTGGATCTTGAAGAAAAAATTTGTTACGTGTTGGAAACTAAAGATTAATAATAGATTGAAATCAAAGCAAAGCATTCTACAAGAAAATAATTGCTATATAGACTGACATGTGGGAACTTTTCAACAAACAGAAAGAAAAATATACTTTCTTCTAACAAGATTTGAAGCAACTGAAAACATTACTATTTCCACAACTGTCGAAAACACAGATCATTTCTTCAGAATCTTGCCAACATTCGCAAAGAAATGTTGCGCGGGGTAGTGCACAATACCTGAAATACTAGGTACCACTCAAAATCAGAAAAGGTCGAATTATCAACCCTTATGAAACCACTGCACAGTTTTCTCTCAAGATTTAATGTTCAACAAGCATCGACTCACTGACGCTTCAAACATTCATAAAAACTCTTAAAGGCAAACTCGATCTATTGATACTGAAGAACAGCAGAACTTCCGAACAATCAAAAATCATCTAAGATTTCTTCAAAATTTCTAGGAAACATGTTTCAAAACTTGGTCTTAATTTTACCAGCCTCAACTCAACAAATTCACAACTCAAAGCTTTTCTTTCAAGGCATGGGCAACCTTTTTCGAGCAGTGGACCGTATGATCTATGCTTTATCACAAGGCATTAAGATAATTTTTCGTAGTAGGTGCTTCAGCTATTTTCACTACAGAAGAAATGGTATGTAAGCAAATACTATGTAAGCAAATACCTTAGAAATGGTAGGAAAGTTACATTTTTTTTTAGAAAAGATTTTTTATAATTAAAATATTGAAGTCTTAGTCTAATTATCACTGATGACAGTATGATTATCACATCTGGCTGTGTGTGATTGATTTCTAATTTATTCATTTGAAAATGAAAATATTTTTACATTTGTGAACATTTCCTGTTTCAAAAGCAAAAGATGTTTACTTACACGCATTGTGTTCCTTAGGGGAAAATCGACAATGGTGTAGAATGCTGACAATGTTACTTTCGCCGAAAAAAATTGTACTTCATCGTTTATGTCTGCGTTTATGGATGAGACAGTGAATGAGTGAACAAGTGAGAACGAATCGAAAGAAAATTTTAAAAAATTAAGCGTACCGTTCAGAATGACCAAAACGGGCTACATGTGACCTGCAGGCGGCAGTTTACCCATGACTTCACTATTTGTTGCCAAAATAAAATCAACAGTATAAAGGAGCTCTTTCAAAATACACAAATACAGCACTGACAAAAAACACAATTTTTCTATGATAATAATATTTAATATTTTAAATGATAATAATAAAAATCAATCAATAAATAATAAAAAAATAAAATTATCATCAAATATAAGAATATTCTTTTTATTTTTGTTGTTAAATATATTTCAAAGATAAATAATTAAAGAAACTGAATATTCTGAACCAATAATAAAAGTAGTAAATAGTAAAGAAAACAAAATAATTATTGTAAAGTAACATTTTTTATAGACGAAGATGTATTTTCAAATTTGTAGGAAAAGCGTTTCGTGTCATAACATGATCAGTGTGTATATGTTTCTGGGTAAGAAGGTGTTCGCAATGTTCACACGCATGCACGCACTCCCCCCCCCCATATATATATATATATATATATATATATATATATATATATATATGTGTGTGTGTGTGTGTATGTATGTATGTATATAGTTTCGTTAAAAACGACTAACAAGGTACTGCGGTTATTTATGTAAATTTTCTTGTGTTCTTATAATTTTTTCTTTTCTGGAAATAAATTATTCGAATGTTCTGCATATCCTAACACTTTCGGTTATTCTTTTTTTAGCCATTATCAAGGATAATTTTACTTTTTACTTTTAACTAATAGATTTTTTATGCTTGTACGTAGATTTATAGGAATGTTTTATTTTCCAAATATGGTCAGCACAAAAAAAAAAATTAAATAAAAAACTAAAGTGTCGTACCTTATCAGTTGTTTTTGACGAAACTTGTATAAAAGAGGGATTGCTGCCCAAATACACAATTATATATATATATAGATAGATATATTTCATTAAAATCTGTTCAGTAGATTTTGAATCCATGAATGCATTTATTTCCGGGGGGGGGTCTGCTCCCTTTACTTCCCTCAAAAATAAATCAAACATAGCTCATTATAGTCCATTTTATGTCTACTATCTATGTCCATCGGCGAAGTAGTTTTTCTTCCTATAGATGTACACACAAACCTACACACAGACGTTCCTCTTTATTTATATACATATATATAATTATAATATATCGCACATATAATGCTGGTGTTAATAAAACAGTGCTTGATGTAATATAACAGAGCTATTAAGTACATATTAATAAATTAAATATTATCCCTCATAAATTTTTATAATTGTTCTTAGTTCTGGGTATGATGATAAACTAGATTCAACAGCAAGGCCTCTGATCGGGAGGTTTTGAGGAGCATGGAACCACCTCTTAACTACTGTTGTTCCCAAGTGCACCCTGACTCGGGGTGGTAGGAAACCAGCTATGGGCAAATAGTGGGGTATCAGGTTGACATCATAGACAAAGAACACCATTGGAAAATTCGTAAACTTAAGAAATCAGCACATATGCTAGACCACAAAAATCTCCTGAGCCGACCAAGCATAGAAATAAATAGAATATGGGAACCAGTAATAAGGAGTGCCAGAGAAAAGCGATAATAACAACAAAAATTGCAATATGAGCACCGGTAAAAATGGTTGCTGAAGTCATTGAGTTTATAATACCCTGAAATCCATACACATATGTCCGCAAGGACACATGGCACAGTGGATAATGGCGTTAGTTAGATCCAGTGACAGCAGTGTGAGTTCAATACCCGGCTAAGGCAGTGGGGAACTTGGAGACTGACATCTATTAAACATGGCACGTGGAACTAAAACAGTCTACCCCAGTTCGACATTCCATCCACCTGAAGAAGGTTGTAATAAATATGGCGACAAAGATGAGGACAATAGTCCGAATAATGTAAATAATCTTCTTTGAAGTTTGTTCCATGAAGTAACTGTTATTGGAAAGAAGCTTAGTGAAACTTCCTCTTTACCAATGGGATAATGGTGATGGCATGGCGAGTCCTAGGTGTGAAGGTCTGAACTAGTGGTACAAAGGAATGTAGCTTGTCTGAATATTTGTCATAGAAGACATTAGCAGTGGACCTATTGTCGCTCAGGAGGTTGCTTCTGTTCCTCATTTTTTAAACAAATGTCGAGTATTTGAATGTCGTTTATTTGCAACAAAATAGAATACTAGAGGGAGTGGGGTAAGACAACTGAAGAACCGTTCTTTTATATGACGTGTCTCTTCGGGACCTAAGAGATCATGGCTCTCCACATCTTCCTGTGCCTTGTACCTCTTAACGAGGTTTTTCTTTTTATTATTTCTCCCAAACCATTTCCTACAATCCATTTATTCAAGCCAATCAAGTATGTTAC